TAACTCCAGAAGCAATCCTGTCCCTTGAAAACCAGAAAGGTTAAGACTTTGCTTTCAGAATGTCATCATTTAGGGAGCTGTGCTGATTTTAGAAAAGATTAGTTTGGGTGGCATTGAGACAGGGAAATAAAATATTACTCTTGAGTTTTTATTTCATCTTAAGATTCCAGTTCTGTTTCTTTCAAGGATATTTCTTCTTGACATGACCATGAGAAGAATGCACGGACTATTTTCAAGGCCTGGAAAAGGTGATGGATAACGCTTCTCACTCCTGTTTACAAACAGGGGTATAAATAAAAACATGGGCATGCGCGTTATTTCCTTTTTTTTAAATTCTCACCATAAGAAAAAAAAGCCCTGAATTCTAAGTAATTTAGCCAGAAGTAAGAAAAATAAGCCTTTACCAGGTTATTTTATTTAATGCAATCAAGGTTTTAAAAATCTGTTTTCTGCTATCTAAGACAGTGTTTATGCATTCTCCGGCAGTAAAAGCTGTTCTGTAGGTGGCGAATATTGCATTTGCTAATTACTGACATACTCTAGTGGTTCCAAACAGTAATAAAATAACCATTGTTTAACCCATTCAGGCCCAGGAATCAAATTAAGTCATTTTAAAATTTCAAAATTGTAAATATCACTTAAATCTCTTGTGAGCTGCCTATGGAACGAAAACTGTATTTGAGGTCAGTTATTCAGAAATCCACTTTTCTTCCTGTTATGGATTGCACTGTGTGTCCCTGAAATATGTGTTGCAGTCCTAACCCCTATACCTGTCAATGTAATCCTGGTTGGAAATAGAGTTTTCTTTGTTATGTTAATGAGGCCATACCAGTGTAGGGTGTGTCTGAAACCTAATCCCTTCTGAGATATTAAAAGAGCAGACTGACCCAGGGGCAGACCAATGCTGGGGAGGGCAAGCCCAGTGAGGATGGCCTAGGAACCAAGGAGCATCCTGGGCTACCCACGAGGAAGGAATCCTGACAGCTAAGACCTGATTTGGACTTTTAGTCTCCAGAACCGAACCATGAGAAAGTAAAGTTCTGTTTTTCACAGCCACGCAATTGTGGTATTTGTGTTACAGCAGCACTATAGCACTGCTTGCATAAATACTTCCCCGGTATTTATATGGTGGTTTGCAGCGAACTGGAGAAGTGATTAAAAACTGTAGAGATTACACAGGATGAGAACTGAAGTCAGGCAACGTATAGATAAACTGTAACAAATCTCCCCACAGTAGGAATCACGGTTTTCGAATTGCAGGCTAGTTCCTTCTAGAACTTGGTTTTCTTGTCTTTCTTTCGTTTTGACTTTCTTGAGAGGTGAAGTTTTATTTTTATATAGACATTGTTAAGACTGCAGTAAACCTAGCATTGTGGGAAGTTCTCTCCC